AAAGAAATGGGAACGTAGATGTTGAATTCAGCAGCCCTCAGACCCAGAGTTTGCTCCTCTGTAGTATTCCTGAAGTAGAGAATGAGGACTTGCTTTGCCATTCTGAGGTGCAAATATCTAGAGCTTTTTGTAGCTTCATATTAAGACCCCTTGAAATATACTTAGGGGCCAGACTTGGTGGCTCAGCCTGTAATCCCAGCACTTTGAGAGGCCGAGGCTAGTGGATTGCCTGAGCCCTTGGGTTCGAGACCCACTCAGGCAACTTGGCGAGACCTCGTCTCTACAATAAATAAAAAATTAGCGGGCATGGTAGCGTGCCTGTAGTTCCGGCTTCTTGAAAGACTGAGGCAAGAAGGATCTCCAGAGCCCAGCAGGTAGAGGCTGTGGTGGCCAGGAGCATGCCACTGCACTCCAGTCTGGGCAATTGTGAGACTCCAACTCAAAAAAAAAAAAAAAAAAAAGAAATGTATTTAGGGACATCTGTATGTATCTTTAGCAAGTTAGGACTTTGGGCTTAAGAGGATTTTAGCAGATTTTAGTCTAATTTAAGCCTAATCTAATACTATTGAGAAAGAAGAGATGTCTCTGGTTTTACTTTCAAATATTTGGTGTCTCTTTAGGAACCAGACCTGGTTAATCAGACCCATGGCCTTCCTGGTACCTTTGCTTGAGTAGCTTAATAACCCAATAATTGAAATATGAATAAAAATCCATGTGAAAATGACAGATAGTAGACAATTAGTAGTGAACATCCACTAAAAGTGATTGCATTCTCCTATCCATTTATTAATCCAGCTTTCCATGGATGGTTTCCCTAAGAGACACTGATAGGTCTCTGCTCTGTGAAATGTGGGGAAAGGGCCTGGCAGAAATGGGGAGAAGTACAGCATACGTGTGTCAAGCCTGTGCTGGGTGTATCTTGGCTGCCTGTGTATGATAGCAGCTGTGGGGAATCAAATCATAGATAAGCCTGGTTGTTCTCATTTAGGTTTTTCCTTTGTTTATTCTTGCTAAAACAGTTGACTATCCTTCAACAGTGATATTAAAACCTTTCATATTCTTTAGCAGTAGTCGCTGCTAGCCTTATGTAGACATGTGCAAGTTGGGGAAAAATAAGGTTGCCTGGGTTGTAGGAGACTCTGTGAGAATAAGAAATCATTGCCTTTGTAACATATGAGGTGAAGGTAATCTCAAAGTTAATGTGTTGATGGGGGCTCCTGGGAGGGGGCGTTCCCTTCCTTGATAAAAGGGCATCCACAGCTACTGGAACAGTATATTTGTTGTCTGAGAAGTATAACGTACTCCTTGCCTTAGAAATTCCTGGATCTACTGATGCCTCCAAGTGGTGAAATCAGAATTTGCAATTGACTGAAATTGATAGTGCCTTGTTCTAGTGGCTACTGTTCACTGTTCAAATGATAGCTCACATGTTTTATGGATTGGGTATTCAGATATATGCTCTGACAGCAGTATCTTCCTCCAGAGCCACTGTGTGCTAAGCACTCTGGTCCTCCAGGGATAGTTGGCACTTTTCAGTCTTGTTCTTTCAGCAAGAGTTTATTAAGCTCCTCTTCTGTACCAGATATTGTGTTTGCTGCTGATAATAAAAGACCAGCAATATTTAGCCTGGACTTTAAAATCTAAACCACTAGCTGGGCACAGTGGCTCATGCCTATAATCCCAGCACTTTGGGAAGCTATGGCAAGAGGATTGCTTGAGCTTGCCAGTTTGAAACCAGCCTGGGTAACATAGTGAGACCTTATCTCTACGACAAATCAAAAAAATTAACTGGGTGTGGTGGTGCGTGCATGTAATTCCAGCTACTTGGAAGACTGAGGTGGAAGGATCGCCTGAGCCCAGTAGGTCGAGGCTGTGGTGGCAGTGAGCATACCACTGCACTCCAGCTTGGGCGACAGAGTGAAACTCTGATTCAAAAAATAATAATAAATAATGAATGAATGAATAAAATCTGGACCACTAATTTGACAATTAAGACAAAGTGCTTATCATAAAGATATGGGTTCTGTGGTGGGACATGGTGGTTTGTACCTGTAATCCCAGCACTTTGGAAGGCCAGGGTAGGAAGATCGCTTAAGCCCAGGAGTTTGAGACCAGCCTAGGCAACATAGTGAGACTTTGTATCTACGAAAAAATTAAAGACTGGGCATAGGGGCTCACACCTGTAATCCCAATACTTTGGGAGGCCGAGGTGAGAGGATTGCCTGAGCCCACAGGTTTGAGACCAGCCTGGGCAACTTGGCGAGACCTCATCTCTACAATAAATCAAAAAATTAGCTGGGCGTGGTGGCACGTGTCTAGTTGGAAGACTGAGGTGGAAGGATCACTTGAGCCCAGTAGCTCAAGGCTACTGTGGCCATGAGCATGCCATTTCACTCCAATCTGGGCAACAGTAAGACTCTGACTCAAAAAAAAAAGAGAAAAATTTTTAAAAATTAGCCAGATGTGGTGGTGCTTGCCTGTTATCCTAGCTACTCAGGAAACTGAGGTGGAAGGATCACTTGAGCCCAGGCGGTCAAGGCTGTGGTGAGCCATGATCGTGCAATTGCACTCCAGTCTGGGTGACAGAGGGAGACCCTGACTCAAAAAAAATTTTTTTTTAAAGGTCAGGCATGATCTCACGCTTGTAATCCTAGTACTTCGGGAGGCTGAGGAGAGTGGATTGCTTGAGCCCCGGAGTTTGAGACCAGCCTGGGAAACAGCAAAGCCTTGTCTCTACAAAAATTATCTGGGCATGGTGGTACACGCCTGTAGTCCCACATCTCAGGATGTTGAGGTGGAACAATCGCCTGAGCCCAGGAGTTGAGGCTACTGTGAGCCGTAATCGTCATAATCATGCCACTGTACTCCAGGCTGGACGACAGAACAAGATCCAGACTTTAAAAAAAAAAAAAGTTACATTTTTAGTGACCATTCCCTGTGTTTCTTATGAAAGCTTAGTCTTTTAGGAGATTGAAATATATTGTGAGATGTTCCTACCTACCTAGCAACCAAGATGTAGTGAGTGGCTATTTGACCCTATCTAGTCTTACCTGCTGATGCTAGTCCTTTTTTAAGTGCTGAAGTTTTGAAATAATCAACATTTATTTATTGTTGGTAATAAATGTAATCTTTATCGAGCCCTCACTATATTCCTTGCTAAGCTCTTTACATGAATGAATTTTTAAAATCTTTACAGTCACCCTAAGAAGTAGGTATAGTTATCTATACTTTACAGATACAGAAATACAAGTTAAGGATCTTGCCGAAGGTCATGGAGTGGAAGCAGGATTCAAATTTAAGGAACCTGGCCCAAAGTCCGTGCTCTTAAATGATGTGATATACAGTATCTGACCTTGGAAGGGGTTCATCTTTACTAACTTCTTGCTTGACAGAGTGGTACTTCCCTGATTCTTCCTGCCTGCAGAGCTTGTCTATTTCCTGATTGGCCTCTGAGGCCAGATTGCCTATCGCTAATACTGAGCAGGAGTTGGTGAATGGCATAGGAGTTTCTTTCTCCAAAACCCTAGATGTAAGTCCAGTTCTGCCTTTCACCAATTGGCTGATCCCACTTCTCTGAGCATGTGTCCTCACATGTGAAATAGAGGTAATATAACTTCATGGGATCATGTAGAGGATTAAATAATATAATGTACTTAGCAGTTACTGGCGCCGAGTAAGTGCTTAATAAATGTTAGTGATTTTTATTATCATTGTCCTTAGACTGGAGAACAAGCCAGTAAGTAGTTTTTCAGAGACCAGATGCTAACACCTAGGTAGGCAGGCAGTTTTCCTTTGGTTTTGACAACACAATAATTTTATTCTATGTATTTCTCTTGACTTTTTTGATGTGAAAAGCAGAGAGGTAAAGCATTATTTGACAGATGTATGGATTCGAGCAAGAAACTGAGGTCCAATTGCAAAGAAATGCCTTGTATAACTCAGAACCCTGTCTGAGGAGACACAGAGGACCCTAGAGGGCGGAGAATGAACACAGCGCAGGGGCTAGTTCCAGAGTCACATCCTCGGTTAGTTCACTTACAAGTTTGGGTGAGGGTCCCTTGTCAATAGGCAGAGGTTTTTTTCCCTCTGCTCTAACATATATCTGCTGTTTAGTGTTTATTAAACAAAACTTCTTGGGGGGGTGTGAAATAGAATTCATGCTTATATAAAATAGAGAGGCAAGAGAGCTCTATAACAGCCTTGTTGAGCTTTTTTTCCACATGTTCCTGTGCCAGACTTTCCCAAAGGCTTATTTATTTGCCAGTGGTTGCTCCTCAGATCTCAGGGCTAGCTCACTCTGTAGGCTCCAAGCCAAAGTGATGCTGCTGCTGCCGCCGCCACCGCTACCACCACCACCACCACCACCACCACTACTACTACTACCACTACCACTGCTACCACCAGTCATTCACAGTTTCCAGCAATAAGGATGTAATCTGCTGTGAAACTTTCAACTTCCTCCTTTCTTCCTGTCTTCGGTGTTGTACCTCTTTCTCCTGGTGCTTTTGCCATGCAGCCAGTGTTTCAAAGAATATTTTCAGGCACCAAAGTTATAGCCCTTACTACCTCTCCAGGGAGATGTGAGTTAGCCATGGAAAAGAAGATAATTGTGAGGGCTTCTATTCCTCTGTGCTGCAGAAGGAAGAGTTTGCTTCTTGATAGTGTGCTAGCTCCTGAGCCAGGTGGGGGACTTGCTGGGACTCATGAGAATGTACTGCATGAGGAGACTGGGCCTAGCCTGCCCAAGGACAACACCCTAAACTGCAAGAGCCAAGGCTGAAGACTGATTTCACCTTCTCCCACTTCCCTTCCCTAAGCTTAAGCTTGCTATGACACACTGCCACAAGTCTGTGGCTTAAAACAGCCGTTTCCTTTTGCCGATGAATAAGCTAACTCTTTATAAAATGTTTCAGCTTAGGAGACTGGAAAGGTTCTCTGTGCCTTTCTGTCTCTGTTTCTCTGAGGGTTGATGTTGATGGCTTATGTCTTTGTCTTTACAGGGAACTCTAATGATCCATGACAAAGAGATTACCTTCAACTATGTACCAAGCCCAGATTTTTGGTACTGCAAACGAGTAAGTACTGATAATTCCTTTCTTTAGAAGTAAGCATCTGGCATAACAGCTCCTCCATATTTCTAGAAATGCTGCCTGGTAGCAGCATTGCCAAGGGTAAAACTCTTTTCCCTCTGCTCACTTCATATGAACTGGAGGTTGGGGTGCGGTCATTCACAATTTCTGCTTTCCAGTTGCTACATGTGGCCATAAAGCATTCTGGGCCTGCAGTTGGAGACCATTTCCCAAGGGTATGTGCCATGCTTTCTGTCAGTTATAAAAAAAAATACAGTCCCTTGACTTATAACCTCTTCTCACCCTTTCTAGGGATGATTATATGGGAATTGGTATTTGGAAAGGTGGATTTTGAGGGGCAAGTTGTACATTTTGGATTTCCAAGGGTATAGAACTTCAGGTACCATGGCATTTTACCTTTGTTAAATTTCATATTCTTTTAGAATGGGTTATTTAAAGTTTTAGGCTATACTATATAGAGGTCCAGTTTGGTTGCAATGAGCATGAAAAAATGATTTGTCTTCATTGCTACTTCTTAACTTCAAAAATAATTATGAAAAATGTATAATATAGTTTCTGAACCATGGTTCATTAAAAGTATGTGGAATTTGCTGGGTACAGTGGCTCACGCCTATAATCCCAACACTTTGGGAGGCCGAGGTGAGAGGATTGCCTGAGCCCATGGGTTCGAGACCAACCTGGGCAACTTGGCAAGACCTCATCTCTACAACAAATCAAAAAATTAGCCAGGCATGGTGGCACATACCTGTAGTTCAAGCTACTTGGAAGGCTGAGGTGGAAGGATCACCTGAGTCCAGCAGATTGAGACTGTGGTGGCCATGAGCATGCTACTGCACTCCAGCCTGGGTGACACAGTGAGACTCCAACTCAATAAATGAATGAGTCACCAAACTGTTTTTCATAGACTGCAACTGCACCATTTTATATTCCCACCAGTGATGTATATCTCATCATGGTTTTGGTTTGCATTTTCCTAATAACTAATGGCTTTGAGTATCTTTTCATGCATTTGTTGGCCATTTATATCCTCTTTGGAGAAATGTTCAGTCGAGTCCTTTTCCCTTTTTAATTGGCTTATACCATATGTCTTTTGTTGTTTTAAGACTTCTTTATATTTTCTGGATATTAATCTTCATCAGATTTATGATTTACAAGTATTTTCCCTTACTTTATTGATAGTATTCTTTATGCACAAAAGTTGTTTTTTTGAAGTCAAGTTTATCTATTTTTTCTTTATTGCCTGTCATGTCTAAGATACCATTGCCAAATTCAAGGTCATGAAGATTTACCCCTATGTTTTCTTCTAAAAGTTTGTCTCTTATATTTAGGTCTTTAATCTATTTTGAGTTTTTTTTTTTTTTTTGAGTTGGAGTCTCACTCTGTCACCCAGACTGGAGTGCACCCAGTGCACCGCAGCCTCGACCTGCTGGGCTCCAGCAATCCTTCCACCTCAACCTTCCGAGTAGCCGGAATTACAGACATGTGCTATCATGCCCGGCTGATTTTTTGATTTATTGTAGAGATGAGGTCTCGCTGCCCAGGCGGGTCTCGAACCCGCAGGCTCAGGCAATCCACTCACCTCAGCCTCCCAAAGGCACGGGATTACAGGCTGAGCCACCGAGCCCAGCTTTTGAGTTAATTTTTTAATATTGTTTGAGGTAAGGGTTCAATTTTATTCTTTGGCATATGGATATTAATTTGTCCTAGCACCATTTGTTGACAAGACTATTCTTTCCCCATTGGCACCCTTATTGGAAATCAATTGATCATAAATCTAGAGGCTTATTCCTAGATTCTTGGATTTATTTTATTGATCTATATGTTTATCCTTATACCAGTCACACACTATTTTGATTATGATAACTCTGGTAAGATTTGAAGTCAGGTAGTGTGGGCCCTTCAACTTTGGTCTTCTTTTTCAAGATTGTGTGTTGGCTATTCAGGGTCCCTTACAATTCTATAAAAAAATATATTATTATTTTTTGAGTTGGGATCTTACTCTGTCATCCAGGGTGGAGTGTGTAGTGGCATGATCATAACGATCACAGGTCAGGGCGGTTTTGACCCCCTGGGCTCAGGTGATTCTTCCACCTCAGCATCCTGAGTAGCTGGGACTATAGATGTGTGCCATACCTGGCTAATTCACTATGTTGCCCAGGTTGGTCTTGAACTCCTGGGCTTAGTCGATCTATTCGCCTTGGCATCCCAATGTGCTAGGATTATAGATATGAACCACCACCATACTTGGCTAATAATTCTACATTTTAGGATCAGTTTTTTCATTCCTGCAAAAAAAATCCATTAGAATCTTGATAACATTTAACATTTTAATTTTATTTTTATTATCTTTTTATTATAAATTTATTATTTTTATTATTATTATTATTTTTTTAGTCAGAGACTCACTCTGTCACCCAGTCTGGAGTGTAATGGCATGCTCACAGCCACTGCAGCCTTGACCTGCTGGGCTCAGGTGATTCTTCTGCCTCAGCCTTCCAAGTAACTAGAATCACAGGCATACATGACCATGTCTGGCTAATTTTTTTTTAATTCACTGTAGAGCTGAGATCTCTCCAAGTTGCCCAGGCTAGTCTTGAATCCCTGAACTTAGACAATCCTCTTGCCTCTGCCTCCCAAAGTGTTGGGATTACAGATGTGAGCCACTGCATCCGGCCTTATTTTATTTATTTTTGAGTTGAGGGTCTCACTTTGTCACCCAGGCCGGAGTGCAGTGGCACAATCACAGTTGACTGCAGTCTCAAATTCCACTGGGGCTTAGAGATCCTTCTACCTTAGCCTCTCAAGTAGCTGGGACTACAGGCTTGCACCATCATGCTTGGCTAATTAAAAAAATATATTTTATAGAGATGAAGTGTCACTGTGTTTCCCAGGCTGGTCTCAGACTCCTGGACTCAAGCAGTCATCCAGCCTCAGCCTTCTAAAGTCCTGGAACTACCCCGTACAGCCATATTTAACATTTTATTTTGTTTTGTTTTATTTTATTTTGAGTTGGAGTCCTCCTCTTGTCACCCAGGCTGGAGTGCAGTGGCACGCTCACGGCTACCGCAGCTTTAACCCATTGGGTTCAGGAGCTCCTTCCGCCTTAGCCTTCCAAGTAGCTGGAACTACAGACACATGCCACCACGCCTGGCCACACAGTTAACATTTTAATAGTGACTGCCTCTGTTGTGGGATTATGGATGATTCCTTCCCCCCATACTTTCCATATTAGGTATAATGTTGCATGTGGTTTTTTTTTTTGGTTTTTTTTTTTTTGAGTTGGAGTCTTACTCTGTCACCCAGACTGAAGTGCAGTGGCATGCATGCTCACAGCCACCCCAGCATCACCCTGCTGGGTTCTGGCGATCCTTCCGCCTCAGCCTTCCAAGTAGCTAGAACAACAGGTGTGCACTACCACACCTGGCTAATTTTTTATTTATTGTAGAGTCAAGGTCTCACCAAGTTGCCTTGGCTGGTCTTGAACCTGTGGCCTCAGGCAATCCACTCGCCTTGGCCTCCCAAAGTGCTGGGATTACAGGTTGAGCCACCGAGCCCAACTACAAACTACATTTTAAGTCTCCACTGATCAATTGATGAGCAATTAGTTTAATTCCACATCTTTGCAATTGTGAATTGTGTTGCTGTAAGCATGCGAGTACAGTTGTCTTTTTTTGTATTATAATCTCTTCCTTTGGATAGATATCAAGTAGTGGGATTGCTGGATTAAATGATAGATTTACTCTTATTTCTTTGAAAAATCTCCATACTGATTTGCATAGAGGTATACTAATTTACATTCATTATTTCTTTTTTTTTTTTTTGAGTTGGAATCTCACTCTGTTACCTAGGCTAGAGTGCAGTGGCATGCTCAAGGCCACCACAGCTTTGTCCTGCTGGGCTCAGGCGATCCTTTCACCTCAACCTTCCAAGTAGCTAGAACTACAGGCACACACTACCATGCCCAGCTTATTTTTTGATTTATTGTAGACGAGGTCTCACCAAGTTGCCCAGGCAGGTATCTATAATCAGGTAGAGGGACCTAGCATTAAAGAGAAAGGGAAAAGTTTTTTTACTATATTTTCTGTTAAGCAGCAGAAAACAAATGTTAATATCTGATGTTAGACTTATACAGCAGTTACCAAGACTGTTTCTTGATAAAACAGAATTGCTTGCTTATGTTGCCCCCTAAAATGATAGGACACTTGTTCAGTCAGCTTCTTGAGATTGTCATCCCTAAATACAAGTTGATCTGTAAACTTTCTTTTGTTTTTTTTGGATTTTTTGAGTCAGGGTCTCAGGCTGGAGTGCAGTAGCATGCCCACGACTCACTACAAACTCGGCCTCTTGGGCTCTAACAGTCCTTTTGTCTCAGCCTCTCAGGTAGCTGGGACCTTGTACTTTCTGAGCTTTTCAAAAGGGTAGAGGTACCATCCTTTTATATGCAGCCTTTGGCCTGATGTGGAATGTGCTGATACATGCTACAACCTATATGAACCTTTAAAACACTATGCCAGACACAAAAAAACACATATATTGTACAGTGGGTAAGAATGGGAAGTTACCAGTAGATTACTTTGGAGGGGGTGATGAAAATGTTAGAATGCTGTAATGATTACACTGTACATTTACTAAAAGTCATTGAACTTAAAATAGATGAGTTTCTTGGTGTTTAAATTTTAAATTATACCTACTGAGGTTAGGATCCTAACTCTGCCACTTACTAGCTGAAGTGTAACACACCATAGCAGCTCTTCTGTGGTAACAAATAAAATCCCAGTGGCTTAAAAGAACAAGCAGCCGGGCTCGGTAGCTCAGCCTGTAATCCCATGCCTTTGGGAGGCTGAGGTGAGTGGATTGCCTGAGCCTGTGGGTTCGAGACCCTCCTGGGCAGCGAGACCTCATCTCTACAATAAATCAAAAAAATCAGCCGGGCATGGTAGTGCATGCCTGTAATTCCGGCTACTTGGAAGGATGAGGCGGAAGGA